AAAATACTATCCAAAAGAATTAGAATGATGAGTAACATCTTGTCACAGAGTCTAATAAAAAAATACTCTATATATTGTTGAATGAATTTTTTGAATTATAAAAGATTTAATAATGGAACATAGCAGAAATAACTGATTAACATTTATTAAAAATTTAATATTATTATAGGATTATAGATTAAGCAAATAATAAGATTGTCAATAGATAAGTCTAAAGCAAAAAATATGAAAAATACTAATAGAACTTTTAACTAATCTCAATAGGCTGAAGTGATGAAAAACTTGAGCCACCATAGTCAGTATGAGGGTTCGACGCACTTATGCATAATCAACAGAATAGCTGGATATATACACATTACCAGGAAAAAAAATTAAATAATACTAAATCCATCAAATATTCTTGAGTTCTTGAGGTCAATCAGACATGATTAAATTTAAATAAGTTATTTTGGAGTTATAGAGGCCATGCCGTAAAATCGCTTGGTCACAGTACTTTGTACGCAACACAATACATAGTAGTGAAAACACGTTCACTATTTTTAAATGGATATTGTTTTACGAACATTTTTTAATTTCTCAAATCTTTAATACTCGTAAGTGAGATATAAAAACATTAGCACCCCCAACTCAAGGAACGTTTATACACAGTTTGTCTATAAAAATTGTTTACGAAATTATTGTTCAAGGTTTTTAGTGCTTTTAGCTGGCATATTTCTATTTATTTATTAAAATTTTTTTAATTTTGCTGTAATATTAATAATTAGCACTTTGACTATTGACTACTACAATGTGTTGATAACTCTTTGAGCTAGGTATACCACTGACTCTATGCATAACTGAATTGATAGTATTTACTTCTTAAGTGATATTAAGTATTATTATTAAATTATTAAATTTTAATTATATTAATTGATATTAAATTAGTTTAATATTAGTAGTTTTTTTTAACTTTATTTAACTAAAACATTAAAATTTAAAATGTTCATCTTTTTAAAGACTTTTTTAGTATCTGAATTTTTTACTTTAGTGAAGGATGTAAAGCGTTATATTAACATTTTGCTTAAAACATAAATTGGTTACTGATACATTTTATTATATTTTTTTTTTGAATTTCTAAATATTTATTATGTATTAATTATTTATCGTAGTAAAATGCACTTTTTGTTGACACAGAATCATTAATTTTATATTAATTCAACAAATGCACTGTTTATTTGAGTATTTATATAAGAATGCGAATTATTAAGGCAAAAAGAATTTACCTATGTACACTCCCTAGTAAATGTTTTTACAGGATATAGGTTGTCGTAATAAATTCCATTCTTCTCCTTTGCATTATATACATACATAAGCAAGTGTTTATCCTTTTGGTGTACAAGAAATGAAACATCCAAACAAAGGTGTGTACTTGTCTAATTATTAAGTTTATTTTTTTTTTGTAATGTAATAAAGTTGATTAATATTTTATTTTCATATAAATTTTCTATAAAATTATTTTTGGTGTACAGTGAAGGACTTTCTTAAACGCTTTTATTTCACGAAATCGGTATCTTTGTAATTTTAAAAACACAAATTTTAAATACTATAACTGTAATTGTTTGTCTTGATGAAATTGCAAGAAATTGTAATTTGGACTTACTTATAAAATTATATATATATATCAATAAACATAAATATTAAGTTAATTTAATTTATTTCATATTAACAACAAATTAAAACCTCTTCCTTTATTTATGCATGCAACAGTTATAATACTAGTTAATAGTATTGAAATAATAGTGCCAGTTAACAGCACTCTGAAAACGGAAAAATAATTTTGAAAACTTTTTTGCTAATAAGCTGTTCAAAAATGTTAAAAATACCATATTAAATTATCCACAATTAGTAATATTTGGACTTTAAATACAAAATTTCAGCTTTGGAGAGATTAAAGAAAACATACTTTTTGGATTGTCCAAACTATATATTTCATAATATACTTGTTACAAATATAATCATCACAATGTACAGAAAATCTCCTATTTACGTAAATATATTTTATAAAATTTAAAAATTTGAAATGAATATAAAATATGGGTTTATTTTGATCCATTAGTGGGAAGCGTTACTGAATATTAAAATTTCTAGGTATTTGATATACAGGAACAAGTCAAAGAATTTCAATATCCAATTTACAAATCCATTTTTATTTTGTTGTTATATTGAAAAGAGTATAAAAATAATATACATCGTTCCTTTATTATAGCTATAAGTCAAATGTGGGCAGCAAGCTGTTAGAATTCCAAATATTAATATTCAAAATAATTATATTAAATATTAATATTCAAAAAATTTTCAATAAATAAAGAACCTTAATAGTACTCTTAGTTAGCTTTGGTTAAGCTATTTGGCTTAAGAACTTGTCTACAAAATATTTTTGTAAATTTTTTTAAAAGTCATTCCAATAAAATTTTCAGAATTGATAGAAGCAACCAAAATCTATAATAATAAGAATGACTGAAACTAACCGTTTACCCGGTCTAAACATATTTTAAATATAAAATAATTCTAAAAACAGAATTATTATTAAATATTTTATTAAAATAGTAAATATTTAAAATTGCAATATAAATAAAAATTGTGTATATATGAACACATTAATTTTTAATACATATATACAAAATATATATTCAATTGTGTTATTCACATATTATAAATTCCTTCCGATTGTGAATGGAAATATAGATTGAAATATCTAAGTGAATTAAATTTTATACAATTAAAATTATAACGAAAAATTTTATAAATTTAAAATTTGTGTTTTACCGATAACGAACCCTTAGACGGTGTATGTAAAATCGGTCACAAAGTTATCTTTCTATCTATTTCGTCTAAGGTGTTTATATTCCAGAATGTATTTATTGTTAAATTCAAATGAATTAAAATATTTTTTTTGTGTGCCTAATGAACTCTAGAGTCTAGACCATAATTAAATATATACTACATATAACACACATGTTTGAAATCTCACAAAATATTCAATAGCTGAACTTACATGTCACAAAACATTCAGTTTCCAAATATCAGCAAAATATTTACAGAACAACAGAAACCGCAAAATAGACTGCAATTTGGTATAAAATACCAAAGCAGGTGTATAAGTTCCGACTATTTATCTGTTAATTTGTTTACGTATTACACTTGATAAAATATGTTTTTTTTACTATTTAATTATTTTAGAATTATTATTTTTTTTCACCAAAAGATAACAAAAACTGCACTTTATTAACCAATGCAATATGTTTTAATTAAAACAGCATATTTTTGGGCGGAGGCAAAATTAATTATTAATTAAAAAATATTTTTAGTAATAAAAATTTATTTTTGTGCAGATAACAATAATTTAAGTTTAATTTTTTTTTAAATATATTTTTATACTTTTTGTATTACATGCACAGATGCCTTAATTTAAAAGTAATTAAATTTAATATTGAATATATTTGAATATTTGTATTTTTTATTATTATTCCGAACTAATGTGCACGAAACATCAAAACAAACTGAAGATACTTCCATCATGCAACAACTTTAAAAACTGAAATCTAAAGCTTTTCAACTGCCGGCATTTGATTCAAAACATTTTTTTGATAATAGCTGGTCACCTTATAACAAAGCTTATTCACTCTGTACTCCTAAGAATAAAAAACCGTAGCATGCGCATAGGCGTTCAACAGTAACATTTGTTTTTATTTTCTACGAGTTTGTTATGTATTTTACGTCGTCACAAACAACAGTATCGCTTTGCCATCAAAGGTTTAGAGTGCATTATTTTTATGGTTCCAATATACTTACATGGTTTTGCGTGCTTAAACACATGTTGCTTCTAACTTTTAATGAAAAATTTACGAGTATCTACTCAAATTAAAATTCGCCTGTTGCAAACGGATATTAGTACACGTGACTTCGGACGATAAGATAAAAATAATATAAACAAAAACAAACACTAACTTTCGATACAATTAATTATAGATATTGTTAATATTATATAAGGTAGTTTAAGTAAATTAAGTGTTCCCTTTAAAGCTCTACAATTATAACTAATGTATAATTTTTTTGAACACTACCATTAGTGTTATTAATTAATTTAATTCTATTGGTATAAAAATGTAGTACATGTTTCTAATTATCTACGTCTAAGTATTTTTCGAGTTTTTTTGACACCATAATGTTTCAATAATTAATATATATATATTTCATTTGATCGATTTTATTTCATTTTTTCAATATAATTATCAATTGTCAAAAGTTAGTAAAAAAAAATATTAGCAGAACACACTTTTAGTAAGCATTGTCTTAAAGACTTCAATTGAAATTTCATACACTATCCAGCTCCCTTAGCTTTCCGTAATACGGCAAAAACAATTATAAAACCAAATAAACCAAATAAAAATAGTTAACACATTTATTCAAGACTCACTTGATATCGCTTCTTTTAACTGTGATCAATTCAAAGACCAGGTATCATACTCACTTGATATCGTTTCTTGTAACTGTGATTGACTTCTGGAGCTAAAGTTTCTAAAGAAATACCAACAAAAAAAGTATTTGGAGTTAACTGTAGCCATAAAATATATGTTAATATTAAATTTTAAAGACCTTACTTTAATTGATCTACAAAAAAATGTATGGATGAAATTGCTTTACACTCGATGAGTTTCACTTTATGGCGATAAAAGAAATTTGATTCTAAATTTTTCAATGTTTTATTTGATAGCCCCACCTGCTTGTGCACTGCATACATACATTTAATTGGACATATTTAGAAAAGAGATTTTTTGTATCAGTTATATTTACTGAAATAAAACAAAATATTTTAGCCATAGCATATGCCAGCAACCTATCCTAACTAAAAAGATGCTTTTCGAACACAGAAGGTCTTGTATTTACTAATAACGAACGGATACAGCAGATCAAAATTTAAAAATGAATTCAAATAAAATTAATTTTTTATTGTTCAAAAATTCATAACTTATTTCAATTCGTTACTTATAATTAAAAAACTAAATCTAATATAATACTAAATCTAATTTAAATACAAATAAAAACCTATATAAAATTACTTATACTTGCAGGATTGTAATCCGGCAGCATACAATCAGAATTAACCAGAAAACCAGTATACAGTCTGACTGGAAAATGATTCCTCCGGCCAGACTATATGTTCAATAAAATCTAAACATGCGTCAATCCGTGTAAATAAATTAGTAATAGAACGTGTCGAGTTATAGTAGCTTGCACCAGAAAATATGCCAAGTATCCGATAATTACCATTTGAGTCCAATGTCAGCAATGGGTCACCATTGGCATTAATGTAATATTCTTGTTCAGGAATTTTGAATTTTGTGCATATTTGTGTATTTTGCAAATCTTGTTGCATGTGATTAGGTACACCACTTACGATATAACTATTTTCACAACTATTTAAAGATATCTCCTCTTGATTAGCCTTAAGCAAGAATGTAACATTTCTATCTATATAATAAAAGATATATGTGATTAAAAACTATAAAGTAAAAAAATGCGAAAAGGTAATAAGCAAACAATATTTACTTGAAATCGTTCCAGTTTCCCAGTAAGACATCATCAGCTTCAAATCCATCGAATCCTCATACATTGTTTCTAAACATATTGGATATACATATTTGGTATTTGATATTGGATTTTTAAGTTCAACAATCGCAATGTTGTAAAATGAACTGCTGAATACATATTTTGGATGTACGTGTACTACCTGCACACAATAAAAAAAATTTTAAAAATATTTAAACATTTCTTATATGTTTAAATATTATATAACATTATAAATATATTATTCATTTACGTCTATTTCGCCATAAACTGCATTCTTCAGTTGCTCCTGATTCGAATTTGTTGTACCAAACCGCACCATTCTTGGCTCTTTGTAGCGATTGTTAAAGCAATGAGCAGCTGTTAGAACAAATTTTGGGTTAATCAATGTTCCTGTACATTCATACGATACCGGTTCATATTCTTTGTTGAACTCTGTGAAACCAATTGCTCCAATAAATCGAAAATCTCCCTGCGTTACAATCTGTTCGCTGTCGTCTAATTTAATTGTATCAGGTCCATTTGCTTCAATAAAATTGCAAGCTAAAAATTAGATAATAATAAGTAAAATTATTATGGGATATGTCTACTTGTAAGTACAAATTACTAATGAAGATACAACTGCTGAAATCTTCATAGTGTCATATTAACATTTTAAACTAATCTTTCTATTCATATTTATAAATAAATATGTAAGGTAAACTGACTCATTATCAATTGCATATAACAGTACTATTTAAGTTCATTAATTTTTAACAGCATTTAGATGTCTTACGAGCGTATATTCAAAACAAAACTCCCTTCTACAAAGTAAATTTTATTCAAGACCCATTTGATTTTCTTGAACCAAAACTAAACAAATCGAGTCGTATCTTAAGCAGCAACGAAATGCCACTTGACGTTAAAAGCACAAAATAGTTTTTTTCACCATTTGGTGAATACGTTACTGGGTCACACTGAGTCTTAATTGTAGATGATTACCCAACATTAATCAACGATTAAACAATCTTGTATAGTTACTAGAGACGATATAGCCTTATCATAACATAAGACGAAAGCTATTTTTTCAAAAAAGTCATAAGCATTAAATAAACCACCTCCGAAAAGGAGGACAAAAGCATACAACCTGAATGAACACGATTTTAAAGAAATGTAAATGAGATAATGGGCCAATGTATGACCAAAACGTAATGTCTTACCTTTTGTAGCTGATCGTTCTGAAAAATTATCATCAAATGTAGGCATCGGTTCTTTAGTCGTGGGTTTAATAGTGCTAAAATATAGAATATAACTTCATTCATAATTTTAATTTAAAAATATACCAATCTTACGTGGTTGTTGTTGGTATTATGTAAGGGCTGTAAAAAATAATTCGTTTAAATCGAATATATCGGCTCAAATAGTAATATTTTTAAGACTTACGTGGCAATAGTTGTCGTACTCTGAATGCTAGAAGTATAAAAGCGACAAATTTTCATATATCTTTATATCTTATGTTAGAGTATTTATTTATATCTTATTAAGTAAATAAAATAATAAAGGATGGTGGGTTTTAAAATATTACTGTAAGATAGAATAGTTTTGGGTTAAGTTTAATTTATAGACAACACTATTGTTGTCTCGATTTTGATACTTGAATTTGACTGTGTGCTATGGGAAATAAAATTCATATAGATTAAATGAATCATTCAATCCTAAAATTAACTTACATGGTTGTGGCAGTAGTAATATTAGTTTCGGCACTATAAATAAGAAAATAAATTTATATTAGTTTCTTATATATATAAAGATAAAAATTTTGAAAACTAAATAAAATAATAAAATATTAAAGAACTTAGTTTCACTACTCTAAAGCTTTCCTTACAAAATATAATATAGATATATATACAATATATATATAAATATAATATATATAATATAGAAATAAAATAATTAATATTTGCATATATAAATATTTTTAGACAATCGTGACAGTATTCTGATCCTCTATAGTTTAGAACCAATGTACAGAAGTGATACCTTGCTATATATTGATATATTAATTAATATATATTAGAAGGTAAGTTTCATTATTAACTTCGAATTCTTTTGCCTGAGGACAGGTAAAAATTCAGTATTTAAATTATCAATTACCAATTCTGTCCAAAAAATTTTTCATTTACCAAATTAAGTAACTTTCGGTATCTGGTATTCAAAAGTAATATAAGTCACAACTGTTTCCTAAAACTATCTTTGTAGAGAAATTTAGCTCATCAAAAAAATAATTGCTCGAAAATTTTATTTTTTACTGAAATCAAATTATCCATAAATATTAACTAATTTTAAATATTTTCAAACATTTTGTTGTTATGTTCTAAAACTACAAGTAATGTAATAAAAAGTAAAACGTTTTAATTACTTATGTTGAGATGATAACACTTCTTGAGGCCAGACTATACGCTCAATAAAATCTATGTATGCATCGACCCGTGTAAATAAGTTAGTAACAGAATTTGTGTTGCACTTGCTTGCACCAGAAAATATACCAAGTACCCGATAATTATTGTTTGAGTCCAATGTCAACAATGGGTCACCATTGGCACTAATGCAAAGTTTTTGGTTAAAAATTGTAAATTCGGTACACATTTGTGTGTGACGAAGTTCAGACTCCATATGACTAGCTGCACTATTTGCGATATAACTATTTTCACAACTGCTTAAGGATATATCCGCTTGAACAGCTCTAAGCAAGAATTTGAAATTTTTATCTGTATAACAAAAGGAAATGGAGAACTTGAAATAATAAGAGAAGTATAAACAATTTTACCTCTAACTGCTCCAGGCTGCCAGTATGACACCATTAGCTTTAACTCGGTTGAATCATCATATTCTGTTTCTAAACATATTGGATATACATATTTGGTATTTGATATTGGATTGTTTAGTTCAACCATAGCAATGTTGTGGAATGAAGTGTCTGGTGTATATTTTGGATGTACATGAATTAACTGTAGATAAAATTTTACATTATGTATATGTTCCTATCTGTTTTGTTGTACTTACGTTTATTTCTCCATAAACTGCATCTGTCATTTGTTCTTCATGAAAGGAATTTGTTATACCAAACCGAACCATTCTTGCCTCCTTACTGCGATTATTAAAACAATGAGCAGCTGTTAGAACAAATTTTGAGTTAATCAATGTTCCAGTACATTCATACGACACCGGTTCCAGTGGTTTGTCTAAAATTTTAAAACCAATTTCTCCAACAAATCGAAAATCTCCCTGCGTTAGAATCTGTTCGCTATCATCTAATTCATTTGTATCAGGTCCATTTGCCTCAATAATATTGCAAGCTTTAAATTAAAAAAGAATTAGTGAATTATTTTCGAATACATTTTTCTCTAAAAATAAATAACTACTGAAGATGCAAGTACGTAGTAAAGGAACTTTACAATACTGATTACAAAAGAGACTTTAAGCTACTCAAAAGAACCATCCCAACTGAACTATCAAACACAAATTAAAAATACGGATTATGTAATATTTATATATAATAAACATTAAACATTTGACTGTTTATCACATAACTTTGTAACTTCATTAAATTTGTAAGCATAGCCTAACTTATGCATCATGCCTTTATTAAAATCATTAGATTCACTTAATGCCATTAGATTTGGTCTATGATGCCTATATATGAGATTTTTTTAACTGCATGAGAACTATGGATATCAATAAATTTGCAGCTGTCGATATCGAATATCAAACTGTGTTGACATTTCTGTTCAGTAAGGTTTGGTAATTTATGAATCGTTTAACGCTAGAACAATTCTTCCGAATTGTGAGAATTTTCTTTGAGAAAAATAAATCTGTTTGCAAAGTTCATAGAACAATTTGACGAAGAATAGCGTTTAGATATGAAGCTCATTTCTGATGAAATAGTTACGTCAATAAGCAAAATTGCCATATATGGACCGGCGATAATCCTCAAGCTGTTAACGAATCAACCTTACATCCATTAAAATTGGCTATTTAGCGTGGTTTACATGCTGATGGTATCGTCGATTCTTACTTGTTTCGCAATGGAGAAGAATGTACCGTTATGGTGAATGGCGAGCGCTATCAAATCGTGCTGAATGAATTTTTATTTCTAAAAATTATTAAATTAAACATTGACGACATTTGATTTCAACAAGACTGTGCAATTTCCCATATAATGCGCTTAGCAATCTTTTTATTGTGAAATCAATTTAGTAAAATCTTTATTTTCAGAAGTGGTCCTGTTAATTGGTCTCCTAGTTCGTGGCATTTAATGCCTCTCTTTAACAATTACCTTTTTATGGGGCTATGTTAAGTCATTGCTTCATGCCGACAAATCAGCAAGTCTTAAACCATTGGAAGTCAATATTCATGTCACCATTGACGTCATACGGACACATTTTTTTCACATAAGAAAAAATAGTCACAAATTGGACTGATCAAATGTCCAATGTAACTCGTTGCCGCGGCAGATAAATGTAGGAAGCCATATTCAAAAAATAATACCATGAAATTATCTACCAGATTATAATAGATAACGTTTCATTTTAATAATGTTGACGTCATATGGTCACATTTATAAGAAAAAATAATCACAAATTGGACTGATCAAATGGATCATGTAACTCGTTGCCGCGACAGACACATGTCGAAAGTCGTATTCAAAAAATTAATGCCATAAAATTATCTACCAATTATAATAGACAAGGTATCATTCTAATAATATTAGTGTCTTATATTGCACACATAAATTATTATAAATCTGTTTAAAAGTTCAGTCATATAAATTATATTAGAAAGAAAAACCAAATATCTTACCTTTTGTAGCTAAGTGTTCTTTAAAGTTTACTGTAGACATAGGCGTCGGTTCTATAGTTGTTGTTTTGATAGTGCTAAAATACGAAGGTTCTGTAGTTGTAGTTCTAAAATATAAGGATAATTTAATTTATTATTTTAATTTAATACTAATACTAAAAAGAAATAAATCTTCAGTTAATAAAAATCCATAAAAATCAATGGACTTATCCAAGATATACATTTTATGGTGATTCACAATGATCATAGTCCATAAACCAATTTAAAAATCTTCTCAATGGACCAGATTTAAAATATTATCTTAGATAAATAACATTAACATAAAATAATTAACACTTGCATGTAAATTTTTTTTAAAACGTGACGTAAGGAACGTATTAAATTCTGATACTAGAATTCAGTTTCAGTGTACAAAGTTAATAAATTATATATATTAGAATAAAAATTGTATGATTGTATATTAATTTCAAATTCTCAATAAGGTTGATAAAATTTTTTTTTATGAAACTAAATTTTAAAGTAAATGCGCGTCAGCATTTAAATTTATATTTTTTTCTAAGGAAATAATCTTATACCTAATAAACAGATAATTAACTAACTAATAAGCAAATTAAAAATATTCACTAAGATTTAATCCAAAATTTAAATTATAATTTTAATAAATAAAACTAAGTCACGTTACTTGTGTTGCGATGATTGTATTTCATCCGGCCAGACTATACGCTCGATAAAATCTAAATATGCATCAATCCGTATAAATAAATTAGTTAAAGAATTTGCCGAGTTATAGTTGCTTGCACCAGAAAATATGCCAAATATCCGATAATTACTGTTTGAGTCCAATGTCAGCAATGGGTCACCATTGGAACTAATGTAATATTCTTGTTCAGGAATTTTGAATTTTGTGCATATTTGTGTATCTTGCAAATCTTGTTGCATGTGATTAGGTACACCACTTACGATATAACTATTTTCACAACTATTTAAAGATATCTCTTCTTGATTAGCCTTAAGCAAGAATGTAACATTTGTATCTATATAATAAAAGATATATGTGATTAAAAACTATAAAGTAAAAAAATGCGAAAAGGTAATAAGCAAACAATATTTACTTGAAATCGTTCCAGTTTCCCAGTAAGACATCATCAGCTTCAAATCCATCGAATCCTCATACATTGTTTCTAAACATATTGGATATACATATTTGGTATTTGATATTGGATTTTTAAGTTCAACAATCGCAATGTCGTGGAATGAAGTGTTGAATATATATTTTGAATGAACATGTATTACCTGTGTACAATTAAATATAGTTTTAAAAAATATTTAAACATTTCTCTTGTATTATTATATTTACGTCTATTTCTTCATAAACTGCATTCTTCAGTTGCTCTTGATTCGAATTACTTATACCAAACCGCACCATTCTTGGCTCTTTATAGCGATTATTAAAACAATGAGCAGCTGTTAGAACAAATTTTGAGTTAATCAATGTTCCGGTACATTCATACGACACCGGTTCCAATGGTTTGTCTAAAATTTTAAAACCAATTTCTCCAACAAATCGAAAAACTCCCTGCGTTAGAATCTGTTCGCTGTCGTCTAATTCAATTGTATCAGGTCCATTTGCTTCAATAAGATTGCAAGCTATAAATTAGGTAATAATATGTAAAATTATTATAGGATATGAGTACTTGTTAATACAAATTACTGCTGAAAATGCAACTATATAAATCCTCATAATGTCACATTGATATTTTAATCTAATTAAAAGGTAAAAATCTTTC